CCCCCATACCGTCATGAATACTGGCTTTTGAACTGTGAACTGATAACAAGCTGAGTGGTCTTTAGCCCAGAGGACACAGTGTCCATGATTTCAGGCCACAGGACACTTTTCCACTTCCCCTCAGTCCACTTTAAATGAGCTCAGGCCCAGAGAAGGTGGCAGCGTTTCTGGATCCTGTTTATATTTGGTTTCTTCTTTGTGTTTTAGAGTTTTAATTTGCATCTGTGGATGCAGTGATGAACTGTTTTCACAGACAGTGTTTTTCATAAGTGTTCCTGAGCCCATGCAGTGATTTCCACTACAGAATCATGTCTGTTTTTAATGCAGTGCTGCCTGAGGGCCCAAAGATCACGGCCAGCAAATACTGGTTTTTGGCCTCGTCCCTTACATACAGAGATTTCTCCAGATTCTCTGAGTCTTTTAATGTTATTATGTACCGTAGATGATGAAAAGCAGAAGTTCTTTGCTGTTTTATGTTGAGAAACGTTTTTCTTGAATTGTCTTTCACAGAGTGGTGAACCCTCCTCATCTTTACTTCTGAAAGACTCCGCCTCTCTGAGATGCTCTTTATACCCAATCATGTTTCTGACCGGTTGCCAATCAAACACCAGGTGTTTTTTTTTAGCATTACACAACTTCACCAGCCTTTTGTTGCCCCCGTCCCAACTTCTTTGGAATGTGTTGTTGGCAAATCAAATCCAAAATCAAATTCAAAATCAAATTCAAAATAGACATTTATTTTTCAATAAACAATAAAATTTCTTTTAACATTTGATATGTTGTCTTTGAACTTTTTTTAATGAAATATAAGGTTTAAAGTATTTGCACATCATTGTGTTTTATTTTTATTTACATTTTACACAGCGTCCCAACTTTTTTGGAAATGGGGTTATATTTCAGCACTTAAATTGCTGAAATTTCAAAGTGAATGTATGTCATGTGGAGCTGTTGGCTAGTTGATGTAGGATGTTGCAGTCAAAGTTTTACTCCTGGTTGTCATACATTGTTCAGGCTATCACTGTTAGATTGAAAATGAGTTTTTACTTTCAGATATGAATTGATGTCATAGACTAAGCATGTAGGCCAAAGTTTGTACTGTCTCCTAATTACTCACTGTATGCTCACAGCATTAACAAGGCTGAACACGTCTTAGTGTAAGCTGTTGTGCTCAGGGGAGGAATGAACGGCTGGAATAATTGCGACTGTGAGGTCAAGATTTTTGCTTTTGCTGTTTACTCTGACAGTTTAAATTAATACATTTCAGATTAATGCTCACAGTTTGTGGCAGATGAGCTCAAATGAACCTAATTTCAAAAGATTAGCATTAGCTGACTGTTTCTTATCTCTTGCATGGAATAACTGCATCAAAGTGTCACCCAAACACCTGCATTTGACATCTTCTTTGGGAGTAAGGAAGCATTAAACAACTGGATTTGACTATGTATCTACACTCGTACCAAATTTCTGCACTGTTATCAGATTTCTGAAGAAAATCCAACAGAGTCCTATTCAAATTGTTGAAGTAAGTGGATAAAAGGTATTTTTAGAGATGACACAATACCCATATTAATATTCACATGGGTTCTGAAGACAATACAGGTGGTTAATTGGTGAATAAAGGTAGATCTTATTCTATATTATTAATAATAGTAGGAAAAACACTAAAAGTGATATCTTTATTTATAGAGCATTTTTTAATCATGGTGGCAGTTCAAATGCTTTACAGACAAGAAATGGAGCTTCACAGTAATTTACAGAAATATTAAAATTTAAAAATAAGAAGTATAGTTAAGTTAAAATATAAAAATTAAAGTTACGTTTGGTTTTCTTTTATTAAACCTTCAGAAACCAGTTCCAAAAAGTTGGGACATGTACAACAGAAATAAAAACAGAAAGCAGTGATTTGTAAACTGTCTTTTACAAGTATTTAAATGAAAACAGCACAAAGAAAAGGTATTAATATTTCACCATTGTTGATTTTCATCATTTCTCATTCACCTTCCTAAGTTTGTTCTTAAGTGTGATCTTGAGAAAGATCCTAAGATAAAGTCTATGTCAGATTCATGACGTGTTCTTAAAGCGCAGAACTGTTCTCACCTTTATGCTCTTGAGTGTGTGTAGATTCTGTTCTTACCTAAGAACAAATCCCACATCAGAGAACACTGGTGAATCTTTGTTAAAACTGCGTAAGTGGGTTTAAAGAAGAAAGTTTTTGGTGAATGAGGCCCTAAAGAACCCTCGAAGAACCATCTTTTTTGAGAGTGTAGTATTGAAGTAAGTTAATACCATGAAAGTACTGAATTTCAGCCCCTGTATGTATTATATTGAAATTTTATTGAAGTCAGCGGATCTTGACCTCTCCAACATGGCGGACTCGCAGACATACCTCCTCTGATAGAGAGCAACAGACAACATGACATCTTTGTATTTATAGCTATGAGAAAAAGTCCCTAAGAGCAAGAGAAAGAAACCTTGAAAGGAACCAAGACTTAACAAGGGAACCCAATCTCCTGTGGTCGACTCTTTGGATCATACATGCCTCAGAGGGTATTTACCCTCGGGGGTCTTTAATTAAAATTCAGTAAGGTCCAGTTAGAGAAAATATCCTCAAGCGAAGGTCCAGAACATCATAATGTCTAACTTACATTATGATTCAGTGCCATATACTGTAAACTGAAGTAGCCTAGTAGGTATATCAACATCTTATACAGTCAACAACTGAATATCAAATCAAATAAAGTACAGTTCAGTAACATTTCAACAACATTTATTGTCAGTTTTCTCTTTTCAGAGCCGCTGTGTATGCAACACTCATTCGAGTCTCAGTGCTCACTGTAATGCACAGATCCGATTGGCTGAGTAGCGTCACGTGTGATATTTACAACACACTAAAGCTACCATAAAGGCTAGAAAAGTTACACCGATTAAAATAAGACCACCCAGTCGAAATTCAAGAATTCTCCATAGTTTATCGGTTGTAGGTCCAGGCCCGCATAGGACAGTTGGTGTTGAATAACTTTTTTTCTTCAACAAATAATTTTTTTTTCATTTAAAAACTGTGTTTTATGTTTATTTAGGTTGTTTTTGTCTGATGTTAACTTTTCTGAAGTAATTTAGATTGTGATAAATATGCAAAAATAGAAGATTTTAACAGGGTTATATACTTTTTCACAACTGGATTCTAATAAGTGCCAGTATGAGCGGTACTACTTCATAAAAATCAATCCAGTCATTTTCCAGCATGTTTTAGACGGAGTTAGACAGGCTTGTGTTGTGCTCTTGCCAGAGAAACGTTCACTGAAACATCCTTTATCAAAATCATACACGCTCCACCATCCCCTTTGTCTTAAAACGCTAGTCACTTCATTTTCGCCTCCATCTTTATGAATTAAGCCGTCATTGTCGTCGTGACATTGTTTGATAGTTCTGTATTTCCCTGCTGATTACTCTCAGTCGGCTGTGATCTGATAAGTTTGTTGAATCAGTGGTTAGACCGTAGGCTGCTGGTGGGCTAGCTCCTAATTAACGTCAGCCGTAATCAAAACATTGACATTGTCCAGTGCAAATGAACCACGTCGCCGCTGTTTCTTCATCCTCAGCCTCGGACGAAAATGAGGCCATTTGTCTGGTTAATTTAGAATGATGATGTCTCAGTTCTCTGCAACTTTTCAGTGCAGACGGTCTTGTAACTCTGAGGTTGTTTCAGGGCCTTGAGAGGGAGGTTTTATTTTTGCTCGCGCTGTATTCGGATAGACACCCTAAATGAAAGTGTTTCACCAAAGGAACTGAAAGTTGAAACAGCATTTCATCATTTGCGTCAGACGTTTAATATTCCGTGGCCTCCACTTTGAAACAGTGTACGCTGAGCTGAATTTGAGTCTAAAGACATAGACCACTTTTGGTGTAGTTCAGTTTAGGTAAGATTTGGGCAGAAGGTCTCATAGCCCTGTCTTCGCATGTTGACTCATTGGGATGTGGAATGGTGTGCAGTATTATTCTTTTAAGGGTGACATCTGTGGACAGCAAGTAAAAATGGCCCAAATCTGATCGTTTAGTTTGGCTGTTCACAATACCTTTTAAATGTGATCTGTATGCGACATCAGTCTGAACAGATCAGCTCCTAAACTGACCAAAAGAACAGAGCGTCACGCTGCTTCACGGCTCATCCAGAGGTAAACAATCACGACCGCCAACGAACGCCAGTCGCTCCCGGAGGATCAGCTTCATCTTCACCAGCATCACAGGAGCCATCATGAAGCTTCACTGACTGACAGCTGGGCTCATCACCCAGAATGTGTTGGAGCCCTAAAAAGGGCGCGGTCACTTCTTTGGTTCGCGTCCTCGGATTCTTTAAACTCTGCTTTCAGACTTTTAACTGTTCTTTGACGCTGCAGCCGCGTTCTCCTGCGGCCGCGTTCGGACATTTCTTTAGAAACCTGTTCAAACACAGAGTGGCGATAAGTGCTTTTTAATTTTAGTACAGAAACATCAGCCCAAATGTTTGAGTCTCAGCAGCGCAAAATTATGACGAATATCGAATTGGACTGACTAAAAGTCGCATGAATTCCGATCTGGCTGTTCAGACTGAGTCACATTGCTGCAGATTGGATACGTATCGGATTTCAGTACCACATATGAAAGCGTCTCAAATCTGAACTGAAAATATCAGACTCAGTGTGTTTATCTGTTCACACTGACACACAGACACACATCTGTGTCACATATGAAGAAGAAAAAGATCAGATTTGGGCCACTTTTACCTGCTGTGTGAACAAAGCCTAATTTACTTACACATTCACTTTATTCTGTTTCATTGTTAACTTTGATGTACAAGCCAAGAACAAAACGAGGAAGTGAAAAAACAGCAATAAAAGTGTATTTCTATTGTATTTCTATTGTAGTTTTCAAATACTGACCAATTATAAACAGCCCCCTTTTACAATAAATCTGTGAGCGGTTATGGTTAGAAGTGCAGCTAACGCTGATTCTCTTTCTGACAGTGTCTCTGTGCTCCGGGCTGGACAGGGGAGCTTTGTCAATATGTGGTGGACGCCTGCTTAATCTACCCAAACAGGTGTTTGAATGGAGCTACATGTGTCAGCATGAGTCAGCCGACTGCACCCCCTCATTACACATGCACATGTTCCCCTGGTTACACAGGTAGGTACCAGCTTCACAGCACTTGATTCCAAAACAGCACTACAGAGGGGAAAAACACCCAGTAATAAACTAATTGAATGTTGAACATTTAAACACGACCTCTTTACCTTTATTCCAGCTTCCGTTCTTTTCAGGAGACTCACTTTCAGGTCCTCAAAGAATCTGCAGACACACCTCCACAGTTCAGTCTTAGAAGCTGGTTGATCATTTTCTGAAGTAATCAAACACATTCAGTGGTGTTGAGGTCTGGACTCTGGGGTGGTCAGACCATTGGAAATGTCCTTTTTCTGAGTAACGGCCTCTTGGCAGCTACACATCAAACATGATTTTGACAGACCTGAAGCGAGAGAAGAACTTGATTTTCTTCTTCTTTATGCAAGTGGATTATCCTACATCTAATCTCTCCCAAAAAGAGATCTGCACTCCTGCAGATTACCGCTGGACCTGTGGGTTTGCCACAATATCTTGCAGTGCAGAAGTAGGTTCAGTGTTGTGCATGGGAGTGGGTGGGAAACCAGCCCACTGCAGGTGGGAGTGGGATGAACCACACATAAAGAGAAGTCCCGCAAATTAATGAACAGCCTAAATGAAGTAGAACCATCACTAACTCATATATATATATATATATTATAAAATGATAACAGGTGGTCATTCTAAAGAGCTGTGAAGCAGCCGATCACGTAAACACGCGAATTCTCGTAACTCACAGAGACGGTGGAGTCTTCAGTCCGACGTCCACAGTTCTGTGGTTAAATTCCTGCTTTTGTTTATGGGAATAAATGGCGTTTGGTGAAGTTACTCACAGTGAGCCTGATGACCATGACTGCATGTTATTTCAGCAGAGAATAATGTATTTCTGAATAGACTCTGTCAGATACTGGATGTCAGTTCGCCTTGACGGAACTGCGGGTGGGGGCGGGACAGATGATTCCGATTTTTTGTGGGAGTGGGTTTTTTCAGACCTCTGAATCAGAATCTTTTTTACTCACCAAGTACTCCAAGATGTCTGATTAGTTTCTCATGGTGTTGATATAAATTTCAATAAATAAATATGAAAAAAATACGGGTTAGTTTACAGTTAACATGAAAGATGTGCAGTTGGTTTTATGTACCGTCACACAGAGTATTGAAGTTCTAAAGTACATACAGTGTGCACAGATGAAGATGTCAGCAGTGGCTATACATGCATGTATATGTAGAATAGTGGCACACAAGCTGAAACACTGGTAGAATTGTATGAAACTAAACCGAGCGAGCAAAAAAAGTTCATTTAAAAAGTCTCTCCTTTACCTAAAGCGCACATTCTCTAGAGATTATGCCATCCTCTCGAAAAGCAGCGTTAGCAAGAACTTTCCATAGTGGATTCCCATTGAACCCCCCCCCATACCCCACAATAGACTGTTCTATCTGCTGTCTACCTACCATACATTTAAATTTTATTGCATTTCCAACTCCCCTGGCCGTGCCATCTGCTGCGAGTGTTGAATGAAAGCCAGGGCCTCTGTTCTACTCAAATGAGCCCTGTTGCCTAAAGCCATGCCTTTCCCGTTACTCATCTTTGCACATTGCCTTTCCTAAGTGGATTATTCCGTAATTCGCTTCATCATGTCTGAAAAATGAAGGGCAGGCGGAGGTTACAGAACACTTCATCGGTAAATCTAGTGGAGTAAACAAACCTCCACGTTGGCTCTCGCGATGGCGAGTGCTTGTTTGTGTACGCCAAACACAAACAAACAAGGAAAAGGGTTTGATATGCACCCCTAGTCAGGATGACGGTGCGCGCTGCATATGCTCAGGGAGGATTCATGGCTGCTGCGCTGGCATGTTCTGAAGCTGGTATATACTTGAAAAGGTCACTGAAGTCTTGAGGAATCGCGTTCAGTTTGACTTGCAGTGTCTCTCGTGGTGAAATGATAGTTTTGCATGAGCTTTCCTCAAACTGTGATGAGTTATTAAACAGGCTGTGCACTGCTGTCTGTGAAAATGGACAAAATCTGGGCAAACTTCACTGCTGTATTTAGCTATGCAACATACTGTATCATATTTATAGATTACAGCATGTCTTACAGTGTCAGAAACCACTGAAAAAATCAGCTCGAGATTACTGAACATGGTTTAAGGCAGGTTTGTCAAACTGGGGATCTTCCAAGCCAAAGTGCTGTGGAGGTCAGCGTTTCACCCTCATCTAACACTCTGAATTCAGTTCATGAAGGTTTTGATGATTAGCTGATAAGCTGAGTCAGGTGTGTTTAATGAGGCAGTGAGCTGAAGTCTGTGGTGTTTTGGCCCACGAGGACTGGAGCCTGACACGTGGACAGAGGCAAATGTCTTATGATTTAGCCGTGAACTTTAAACTAAACGCTGTGCTAATTTCCAAATTATACGCTTTCATTACTTGTTGGCAGAGGAACACAAACCCCTCGTTCAAGTTCTCTGGTAAAAAAAAAAAGAAGAAAAAACTGGTAGAATTTGAAGTATGATTTACATGTTTTTCTTAAGTTAATGTATAAAAGTGTATGATCCTACTTAAAGTAAAAAGGAAATGATTTATTTAATTTCTGTTCAATTTTTTAAATAATGTTCATTATTGAGTGAAGATTATGTACATGACTATGACGCTGAGCTTGAATAACAGTTGATTTATGATGAACCTGCATGCATCATCTGTAAAATCAAGCAAATGACTGATTTTGATATCAGTTTTTGTGTTTATTTATTTATTTATTTGTAGTGCATATACCAAGAATTGTTTTTTTAAACCTACAGGCTTGGATAGTTTTTGTAAGTGAGACTTAAAATGGGGATTTTTTTTACTTATTTGCACCGTCCAGAATGTGCGCTAGTTCACCCCACTGCAAAATGTACAGTAATAAGCCTGGTTTGAAAAATGTGAGTAGAAAGTTCAGATTTTTCTTTTGAAAAGTTGTGAGTAAAAGTAGAAAGTATTAAGTGAGAGATACCCAGTTAAAGTACAAATATTTATACTTCGTTACCTCCCACTGCTGCTTGTTTGCTCCAAATCAAAAGTAAACAAGCCAACTTTGCACACTAAACATGTTTTGGTTGATTGACTATATTTGGAGAAGAAAAGGAAAATTGTCATTTCTTTTTGGACACACTATGACCTGTGATGCCTTATCGAAATCATGCAGTTCTGAAAATGTGTCTGTAGTTTTCATCCATGCGTGTTTCTCCATATTTAGGCATATCAAATAAATATAATTTTTATATTGAATAACATCCGAAATTCACGTGAGGTGGATACATTGTTGTTGCGGATAAGAAGAAATGCAATATGCTCTGATAGAAACACATTTGCTAAATAAATAATGTAACTGTGAATAGTGTAAAGTGATACGGCTGCTCACGTGTCCCCGTTTTCACTCGGCTGTAGCTACAGAACATGATAGATGGCAGCAGCTTCCAGTGGACTAGTGAAGAAATTAAAAAGTCCTTTATCTCATCAACGGACAACAAAACATACTGGTAATATCAGACGCTAAACAGGCTTAAGATACCTGACGCTGATTAATGGATATTTCCTGAGTCATTATATTTGCCAGTGTGCTCATACAGTACTGTGCAAATATCAGAGATCGTCCTTCATTTATTTAATTTCAAGTCAAATTGGCCATTAACTTGTTCATATTTCATGGCCAGGAAAAGCAGGTCTGTCCGGTCATCCAGGACTTAGATGGTTGTTAGGAGTTTTTTCGGTGTTTTTACTTCGCTTAAGTGGAAAATTTATATCTGATCTCCTCAGAAATGTCATCTATTAAAAGAGGCGCAGTTTTCTGAGAGTCTACTGACACTTTGCGCTGGTGGGGTTATCGAGTTTAAGACTCCCATGGAAATGAACACATGACCAGTGCAATGTAACCAATGTAACCACGTTTGCATGCTTTTTGTGTGAAAGTCCGTTTCTGCCCGGTGAAAGAGAAAAAGACTTTTTATCATCGCAGATTCAGACTGTCCTTCAGGTCGAAATAATGAGGTATTTTCAAGATTTTGACTTAGTAAGTGAAAATAAGATCGAAACAAAAGAGCTGACAAGGTCTGTGATTATGTCAACACAAGAAATAATTATTTTAAGAAAATAACGTCAGAAAATTGAGAACATTGGCTCGTTGGAAAGCTCAGGCCCAGCCCTGTCGAACAATATCTGTCCCATGGGAATACGCCACTCTGTCGCGGAGAAATGAGAGTTTAAAGGTGGCAGCGAGATGTTGCTCCGGACGCCTAGGAGGGACCCCCACTACCCCGGCCCAGGATTATTTAGGATAAGCTGAACTTGAATTTTATGCTGAGCACATTTGGAAACTGTGTGATGGTGTAGAATCCTTGTTTAATTGTTTAATAGTTTGGGAATTGTATGATTTTTGATCACTTAGTTGTGAAGCGTGCATCAGTGAATACCATACTGCAGCCTTATTAGCGCAAAAATAAGACAAACTCTTAACCAGTGCACAGTCAATATTTACTTTAAGGCTCTGTCCCATTTCACCACTCTTAGCCCTACCCCTCCGTTTTGTTCATTCTCTTTTAGGGGTAGGGTGTCCCGATTCTTGTTGAGATAGAGGGGGAGGGTGAAGTGTTGGGGCTACATGACCCTCCAAACGGAGGTTTTTCAGAGACTCCAAACAGAGAGATATGAGAAAAAAAGAAAAACTGGTAAGATGGAGAACAAGAGACCAAAGAAACACACAAACGTGAGAATTTTCTCCATTAAAAATTATGATATTATGATATGTTATCTTAGTTTAATGTTGTTTCAGTGTATTATGATCGTTTTCTTCATAACTGAAAGTGCTAATGAAGGCAAATTATGCCATTATTAAGTCCTTTTGTTGATGAAACTGCAAATCAAAGGCACAAACGATGCAATTCAAGTATGAAATGGCTTCTCTGATACCTTTGCTTTGCCGGAGCTCAGTCGCCTATATTGTTTCCGAGTTCCGATGTAAGTGCCTGAAAAGCGCGTGAGCTTATGATTTATGATC